TTCTAAAACAGTTAATTTATTGATCAGTTGATCAACCAATAGAGAAACGAAATGGATTATTATGATAAGCATTGAGTTTGGAGCTATTTATTATGCACAGTGCCAAAAGCTTAACTTTTTTCTTTGTCAAATCATTGTGACTGCATGTTTGTTGGACAGTTTTATTATTTGTCATTTTATAGATGAAACAATTAGTTGATTAGTCAAACACTGGATTTCTTCATGGTTTTATTTATTTACAGTAGTATGTTATGAATGAAGGAGTCTGAGGATGGTGTCAGGGCAGCTGCTCTGTGCTGAGGTGGTGACTTGTTTTGAGGAGCTCTGTCCCCAGCTGCTAGCTCAGTCATTGCTGTGTCTGACACAAAATGCCTGGCCTAGAAACAAGGAGCAAGGGCCAAGATGCGCATTTCAACAAGAATATGCTCATATACAGTCTGCAGACTAGCTTGTCTGCAAGTGCTCTTTCATGCGTGCTCAATGACTCTTCATTTCCAAACCTGCTACTCAACACCAGCACTATTTATATTCTTCAGTGATGACAGGTATTTAGTGTGAATGAATACTTTTGAATTACTGGTACAGAGGCGTTTCTCAGATTTCACATTTCATGACTTCTTTTTGTTAAGAATATCAAGGCTTTTGTTTGCTCCACCGTAGACTGACTGTATCACTTGTTCAATGTATCACTGAGTACAGTATTGATGAAATGTGACTGCCAGTTGTATTACATTCACTGAGCCGGCTATCCTTGGCTAATAGCAAGCCACACAGAAATTCAGATTCTGTTTCCTAAAATTCCAAGAGTGGATATTTTTAATTCAGACCATAAGCTAAATGCAGATTTCAAAAAGTGTGGGAGGTTTTCTTGTCTTCAGTTAAAGTAGTTACAAATTTTGTGTGTGTGTGTTGTCAGTGGTTGCATTTGAAAAATTATCTTAGTTGTGATTAAAATAAAGCTATGTTGAAGAGTCAACATTGTTGATGTTGTGTAGTGTAAAAACTCATACAACAGTCTTGTTGTACTCAAGCAGTTCAGTAAAGCAAAAGTGGCATCATCATGCTCATGCATTGGTTGGAAGTGTAGTGGTTTGACTAGTGAAACCTATCAAATTTAACAGGAGAGAACATGTCTCCTGTCATGTTATGGTTATTATAGAAAAGCATGTCTAGTTGAGTTGAGGACCTGAGTTTCACCTGATTGGATCAACAAACATATTACTGATTACATAAAATGTGCACCCCTTTTATTGTTGACCTCTCTTTCACTCTGTTCACAGTAACTCAGCATGGATGAGATAGTTATAACAGGCATTTCGGGCCGTCTGCCCGAGTCTGAGAACCTCGAAGAATTCTGGGAAAACCTTATTAATGGTGTGGACATGGTGACAGAGGATGACCGGCGGTGGGCACCAGGTAACACCCCCACCTGACAAA